AGGCGCCGCTTCACTCTGGCCCACACGCCCAGGTAGAGTCCAGTCCATAACTCTCGCCAAGAGGGCAAAGATGAGCTCAGTGCTCTATTGAATAAACCAAATGTAGCGTTATTCTAACAGGCAGACACTGCTGCACGGGTGAATACTTTTATCTCGGATAAGATAGATTTATTTACTGAGATAAAAATATTCTAATGTGCAGGTACTGTTGACAGACTTACACGATAACCTTAGGTTTTATAAGTCAGCAATTAAAAACTGACAGTATTGTCTCTTCTGTTGGTTATATATAATTGCTGGCGAATGTTTCATTGATTTTGTATGTGTTGTTGAAGTAGGAGATGCTTCTTGTCTCTTGACCGAGGGTTGCTCTGCTGCAGCTGCAGATGTTGATGTATTTTTGGTTTATTTTTGTGCAGCAGCCTTTCACACTACAAAAACGGTTGCCCTTAAGCTTATGTTATGAAATTGATTCTGACCACAAGATGCTCATGTATTGCTGCATTTCAGTTAAACACACTGTCCTGTACCCAAATAAAGCCAGCTGTTGTTTCAGGGAACTTTTACTTAAATTCTCGTGATCGGAATATTTTAAATGTGCTGTTTTATCCTCGACAAATTTCTGAGAATAGTATATGTGGTTGCTGTTGGTATTTTGCTCGATATTGCTTCCTTTATGCTTGGTTAGAACTTGTATTTATTTATGGCTGAAAAGCACCCTGGATTCACATGGTACCCTCAGTGGGTTTAGCTTAAAAGCAAAGGTCTATAATGAGAGTTGGATTCCAAAAAGTGCCCCATTTTAGGGCTTAATTTCCTACAGGTGAATGTGTTTTTCCAAAGCTTTTGTTTTCCTACTAAGCGGCATCATCTCAGTAAACACACAGCTCAGCGACACCCCTTCTGTCACTGCATCAGCAGTTAGCTGTTCCACCTCTTTGTACTTTAATCTGTCAACGACAAAACAACCTCTTTTAATAGCAACATGAAAAGGAAGCACACCTCCAACTTGTAACAGGATATTTCCTGCATAGCTTAAAACGTTTGATTTATTCTTAATTTTTCATCCGTTATAGCGGTCATAACTCTTGTTTGTAAAGAGCCCAGCTGCCTTGCCGTCATCCAGCTCCGCTCTGGTGCCTGTTGATAGCTCTAGGTTTATGAGCCGTTATTGCATCAGGCCTGGCCCATGATTCCAATGCAAATTAAACATTTACTTGGTTAACTATGTCAAGGCAAGAGTCGTATGATCAATTAAACCGTACTTGACCTCAACTTCTTAAGAGAGAAAGAATAAACAGGGCATTACACATAAGCGTGGATGGATATACAAACAGACGGATATTTGTTCTTTTGTGCCTCAGTGGGGACAGTGTATTTGCTCGTTGGTGTGTTAACTACCCCTGTAGATTTCTTCAAAGGAGGAGCCTGTTGTGGAAAATTGTAAAGTACTGTAAAACTAAATTTACTGCACATGCCTCCTATCTCTTTGTCAATATTTACCCTTCGCTCTTCAACATATACACACTCAGATGTAGGCACCTAGCCGTTCTGGCTGTTACTGGGTGTCTTCAACTTGTTGCAGTGATGTTAGATGACATCCACCTCTGTGAAATCAAATTAAAGCCTGAGAGAAACTCTAGCCGGTGCTGTAAATCCCTGCTTTACTTTTATTGGCATGAAATGCATATTAAACATTCCTAAAGAAGACAGTGCCTACTAAAAGACTCAAAAAGTGTTTACAAGTTCATTCACCTTTATAAACATGTAGTGGGGGGGATCATTTTCCTCCAGGCTTTAATGGTCTCAGATTCGAGATTGGCAGACACATTTCTTTTCCAAGGTTTGCTGTAACTCTCCAGCCAAACTGTTTCATTAATTTCAGTGTGTCTGTTAAAAATCTAAATATTAGAGGGTGAGAGTCCTGTCAGGGGGTTTTCAAGGCTCAGTCTAGAAAGTCAGATGCTCGCAGTCTAGCACAGATATTCAACATGTCAGAGCTTTTACATTGTACAGTTCCGAGGTCAGGCCATTGGAAGTGTCCTTCTGCAGGCTATGTGCAGTGTCCCATAATGTCAGAGCTGAAATAAATGGATGGAGATGAGTTACTGCAGGATGGCTGGCAAGGAGGAGGAATTAAACAAACTGGGGATTCAGCGGAAAATAAATGTCGCAGGCGGCTCAAATATAGAACATACCCGCGAAGTTATTTTCACTTAGTGTCTAAGTTGATTAAGCCTCTTTTTCCACTCCTGAGACACCATGTCAAACGGATTTTTTTGTGAAAAGCATTTCGTGAAAATTGTTTTTTCAAGCCAGCTCTGGGATGACAGCCAGTTTTGTTTTTGTTATGTCTCTCATTGATAAATGTAGAACATTTCTGGGCTGATAGAACATAAACAAACAATGACTGTCACTTTATTTGATGGGCGTCTTCATCTCTTTTGGCTATGTAGTCGATTACAGGAGTTTTAACTATCTAACTGTTTCTATCATAGCTTATAGAATATTCATTCATACCAGAACTGCATATTCTGCTCATACAACTATATATATTATAAAAGCAGATCTATGTGTTGTACTGTAACCAAGAAATGTCACCATATATGAAATAAGTAGAAAAAACATGGATTTGTTTAATCTGAAATAATTTGTATATGAGAAGAAGACTGTGGAAGAGTTGCATTTAATGACTTTATTCAAACCAGTGATTAGTGAAGTGTTTAGTGATTGATTAGATATTAAATCAAAATCAAAATAATGTAGTGTGCAGGTATAAATCAGTGTCATTTCTTTAACCAGCTTTTAAAGAAATAAAGGTTAAAATACCAAGTCACACTTTTACATTTTATTCCTTTCATTATGAGTAATTTTAGAGGATTTGGGTTTTTTAAAAAAGTGTCACAATGTGACTACAGATCGGGATGTTCACACGTTCTCCGGATGAAAATGAACATTGCATTTCCTGTTCTTTTTCACTAGAGGCTGCTATGTTGTGAAATGTTGGCATGAAGCATCAGGAGGATGTGTGTCTGTTTCTGTGGGTGGAGGAGAGAAAAGAGATATTATCCTTTGACTGGTGTGTGACTGAGTAGGGACCCTAATGTTTCTGGTTTGATTTAAAAAGGTCCCGCCGGTATAAGGCTGTTGAGAAATACTGTTTGGTATCTTGGTTATGTTAGTAGCATTTTCTACTTTCTACTTGAACAGAATAACATGATGCTGGCTGGTGAATAGTAAAAAAACAATGGGCTGGGTTTGACGACTTACTTACGAAAATGTTTGTTCATAAATATGTGTGTTTCTGTTTTCCTGTTCCCCCGTGGCATTACAAGAACCACTATTTATCAAACATCAAAAGAATATAACATGCATCTTCCAGTAGCACATATACAGAACCAAAAGAGCTTTTAAATCCCACCTAAAGTTTATTCTGATAAAGGGCTTTCTCCAAGTAGCTGGCTGATTTATGTGTTGTTAAATTATTAGTTATGTTTCATAGTGAAATAAGAGCGCTCTGAACATGTTTAGATACAGTTTCAGAACAGACTGTTTAACTTGCTGATTATCGTGAACAGCAATAAACACCTCCTGTCAGATCCTCACTCATGTTATGAAAAATAAGATGTTTCCATCCTTTACTATTGATGTATTTTCCTTCCTGTGAAATATGAAAAGTATGGAATTTGATTTTAGTCATCATCTATGTCGATAAATATGGAAAAAAAGAAAAGAGAATATGAACAAATATTTATGAGTTATTTATTTATATTTTATTTTTTATTTATAAAACTGAATAAAATTTTGTGTGTTAAGGCAAAATAATACGAGCACCGATTACTTCCTTCTCGGGCAGAGATGTTTGACAGTGGAATGCCGTACAACTTATTGCGTAGGACTGTGGACTGAACGGCCACAGTGGGTAAATGCAAGCTTTTCAAGGGCTGGCACTACAATCCCAAATATAAAGCCTGCTTGGCTAATGATTAAAAAATTGTGTAAAATAGTTTGATAATTCCAATGTGTGGGGGGCAGCAATTGTAAGCCAAGGGACTCCATGGTGAATTGTACATGAACATCCCTTCTGTTACTGTAGAGACTGAAGGTATATTTAAATTTACGTGACAAAAACTGTTTTAGCGCAGCAGCTAGAATAAAATGCTGTGCATTGAACTTTTCTGTGTTTGGTGTTAATTGACTTGTGTGAGCTACAGGAGCTAGCTACAATCTTCTGGCAATTATTTAGCAACATAATAGCATTCATAGTGAGAGTGGTAACATACATGTTAATGGGGTTTTAAAGCCATTTATAAATAACATCTAACTATTTGTACTCAGATGTCAATTATGGTCTGAAAAATCTACAGGGAAGTATTAGAAAAAGTATGAGATTTTGATCCCTGCATTTATGACTCCACTTGATGACTCCAAATATTTAACAGTGATGAGGATATTGTGCAAATCAGATGGATTATCTCATGGCATGAGAGGAGGAGGAATATTCAATCACCTTTTAAAAAGGCACACACACGATATTGAAGTATTGATTGACCAGTGCACTATTGTCGCTGCTGGCATGAATGCAGGCTGGTTACACGAACAGCAACTGTACGCACAGGAAACCTCACACTTACAACACTCTAATACAGCACCATATTCTTCTTTCAACTCACCTCTAGTCATCCCACTCTAACCCCAGTACTGTTCACACTGGTCCTCTTTTTCACGCAATAACGGTCATTCTCTGTACTCTCTCATTGTGCGATTTGCTCTCCTGCTCTCACTCTCTCTCTCTCTCTCTCTCTCTCTCTCTCTCTCTCTCTCTCTCTCTCTCTCTCTCTGCCAGTCAGCACCCCACCCATTCCCTCTCTCTCTCTCTCTCTCTCTCTCTCTCTCTCTCTCTCTCTCTCTCTCTCTCTCTCTCTCTCTCTCACACTCACACTCTCAGGGGAGATAGTGTTGTTGTTTGTTGTTTTAAGCCTGAGTTTGGTCCCACCACTCTCAGGAGAGAAGAGAAGAGAGAGCACAAGTCTGTTATAGCCCGCTGACAGGGACTACATGGGACGGCCCACTCCAGGGAGCATCTGATGGGATTATAACACTCTTTCCAGCTCACTTTTTTCCCCACTAAGAATAACTCTGCTCAATCTGTTGGTGGTGTAGCATCACAGAGGCATCCCTATGTTCAAGTGGACAGCTTTGTGTTAATGGTGTCGGACCTGATTTTTAAAGACAGAAAGTACCTGGAGCCCATTGTTGAGGAATTCGTTTTTTGTCAGTTTGCAGCTCATTTGGAAGAATTCAAGCTCACTGTTTCCTATTATAGGAGTACGAGGAGAGAGAAAGAACTCACACAAGAGAGAAAGAAGCGTTTATCTTGGCCCGTTTGTGGTGAGCAGAAAGGAGAACATGTGAGGAAGTGGTCCCAGATGAGCACTGACAGCTGACGCCATCCTCAATTTCACTTGATTTGATTCGGCCCCGTACTTTCACTGTCAGTGAGATGATACGCTAACTCACTCAGTGATTGGTCTCTAACAGCCAAGACTTTTTGCCTTTTTAGGCTGTTCACACACACACACACACACGCCCACACGCACACACACACACACACACACACACACACACACACACACACACACACACACACACACATACACACACACACACACACACACACACACACACACACACACACACACACACACACACTGAGCTGAACCTTTTTGATTCTTCCTTTTCCACAAAAACAAATGGACATATCCTTAACGCCAGGACCGAAAGCTGACCGCAAATTGAATTTCCAGTTTGATGCACTTTGATCCGTTGATTCTGCACTGACCTGGAAGTGAATAGCTTCTAGCTAATAAGTTTTATCTAATAAATACAGAGGAGAGCTCAGCAGGCCTGACTCTTACTGTTGCGTTCACTTTCATTCTGGTGCAGTTGATGACACTCTTGTGTTTTGCTGTTTTGCATCTTGCCGTTGTTTTACATTCGCCGTTTTTGGACCTGTTTTTCCTGCACCGTCCTGTCAAAGGGACCTGTCTCCCATAACTTGTGACCACAGACAGTGTTTTTGGACAGCTTCCCTTTCCGATTCATGACAGCATGGGGGTGTTGGTTGCACCGCAGAAGTTCACTTTTTTTATCCCTCGCCTCCCAAAGCTGCTTTTTTGATGCCTCTCTGAACTCAACCCAAGTCCTTTAGAACCTGCCAATAAAATGATGAACAAAGACTCTCGCTTTTCAAGGAAGATGCACGGCAACTTCTCCACACGCAGGCACTCGTGCATTGGGTACGTATCCGATGGTGTGTTGATAGTTTTGTGATTGCAGTTAAGCCAACATTATACTTTATTAGTATTGTAAAGCGGACTCCACTTGTTTCTGTGACTGGCAAGTACTGCCTGCTTTTGTGTTTTACAGTGCATGCGATATAATCCACTGGAGGGGAATTATTTGACATTGCTGTGTTGACAGTAGTAACAAATTGTGTTGATATTTATCTTGTGCTTTTATGTGTTTTATTCTGTTGTGTAGTCATGATGTTTCAAGCTCCAGCCTGAGAGGATGGTTTAGATTACATAGAATATAAGAAATTACTCAAAATAGAAAAGATTTTGACATAGAAATTAATCTTTTTGCCACTCAGATTGAAGCACTGGTTTGGTTTGCTTTAATGATAATAAATTTTTTTGTGGTGAATCTGCACCTGTATCCTGTTTAAAACACTGTCCGCCAAAAAACCATCCGCCAAATGACTCAATGTGTGCTGTGGTGAAGCCGGTGGGCGTTGCTGTTGGTGTGCTGTGTGCTGTGGTTGGCATCGCAGGCCTCGGGGTGGCACGGTGGATCAATGGCTCTGTCCACTGATGGCGCTCCTTGGGGGTATATGGACCCCAGCCAAGCCGCGGCGTCTGTGTCAGGCACGGTATAACTGTCAGGAGTTTCATAAGTTGACTGAAGAAATATTGGCGTGCTGTGGAAAATTGTTCATGAGAGCGGCAGATGGAGCAGATTTCAATTCTGTTTTCTATCTTGTCCTCTAGGAAACAAAACAGAAAGGAATAAAATTATGTGTCAAATGGACTCACTTCCAAGAGGTAAATCATGGTAAATTGCTTCCTTGTCTACACACTGAGACTGATTGACTTAATTGTAGTTGTAACTTGATACAACTGTGTACTCACCAGGCCGGATTCAGGAAAAACATAAAATCTACTACAGCTGTCATGAGATCCCTGCAGGACACATTATTATGTAAGTTTACAGAGACTAAAAACAGAGACTCAATACATGAAATACAAGAATACACACACATAGGCACACACACACAGCATATGAATATACACACACACAGGAATCAGGAGGCCAACATGACTCCATATGTGCTGTGAAATGAAACTCACAATCAGAGACGCATCATTAAAATAATTTTAAATGCTGCACACATGTTTAAATAATCACCCTCTACTTTCTTGTATTAAAAGAAAAGAAAACATTTCAGGGTTGTTGTGGGATGTTTTTCGTGTGGTGCAGCAAACTTTTCTGAACTCTGGGCATAAGGCATGTGCCTTGCGAGTGTCATCCGAACTCCTCCAGCCGTGAGCGTGTTTGGATCATATGAGGAGATCAAAGCAGGAGATTTTAGACCACAGCCAGAGATACTGAAGTGCAGAAGGGAACAGAACAAGCCTCTATTCTCTTTACCTGATTTGTACATCGTTCTTCCTGGCTAAAAAAAGAAAACAGTACTGAAGTGGAGTTACTGTTGGGGGATTCAGATCAAAGCAAAGTTCAAATCTTGTTTTTCATTTTCAGCGCCAGTAAAGACAATGATGTATTTATTGTGTGGTGATGGAGAAGATATCGTTGATGTGGATGTGTTACAGCAGTAGTACTGTAGTACTTAAATTAGTTAAGGTAGTAGTTATTCATCTTTTGTAATTAAATCTTTTTTTCTGCTCTTGCACACACTTACACACACACACACACACACACACACACACACACACACACACACACACACACACACACATACACACACACCCTGAGACAAAGCAGTCTCTTGTAATCCATGTGTCCATCACAATAGAGACAGCTCTTATCCTCACTTGTACTAACAGTACCATGGTACTATTCATCCTACCCTCTGACTACCACACGCAAACACACACACACACACACACACACACACACACACACACACACACACACACACACACACAAACACACACACACTACTAGAAACCCTCTTAACAATGCTTTTTATGGCTTCCCTGTTAGTGTGGTACATTTAAACAACACAGTGTCACTGCATTAAGCCGGACAGAGCTGGAGAGCTCTTAGCCAGTATCATGAGAAGATAGTCGGTGCTGCATCTGTTGAGCTTGTGACAGTTTGCCTCTTGTCTAAAGCAGAGAATGAGTGGGAAGAGGCTGAGGTGAGGTGAGAGCGAGAGAGACAGAGGCAACGGCTCACTGACTGGGAAAAAGAGATAATTTAGATGAAGAGGGTAAAGACACAGACAAGAGGGCGGTGAAGAAGTGATAGAGAGGACGGGGGTCGAGATAGTGCTGCTTTTAGCGTGGAGATAATGCCTGGAAGGAGGGGGTTACACCGAGATACAGCGGGGCTACCAGGGTGAAAAAAGATATTTTTGAAGTGCTCAAAAAAGAGGAGAGAGACGTAAAGTGATTGTGACTGAAGGAATGATGAGGAAAACAAAAAAAGTGTCAAGTGAGGCCATCCAACCAAAGGGCAACAGTGTCAATGTCAGAGGTCCCAATATAGCTGCCCGATGTAGCCCCCACCCCCTCTCAAACACACACCCAGATTAGTCAATAGGGCCTGTGTGACTGTGGCGGGCTGGCTGCTGTGTGCGTCACTGCTGTACTCCATATTTTAAGCATGACTGATTTCCCCAATCGCCTCCAGAGCCTCATTGATTTCTGAGGCTGGCAGCAGCAGCAGCCGGGGACAACACTAACAATGCTGAAATTCAAAACTAGCGATTCTACTGTATTTCCTACTCACACTGTGAGAGGACGCAGGTGTCTTTCCTGTATGCAAAAGTTCAGAGAGACTCTAGCAACAACAAAAAGAGTAAGACGATTAATACGTCAAAGGACATGTCGGTTTAAATGTTTTCTCTGAACAGTGCTATGTTCAGATCAGATGTCCTGCTAAGGAGAATTAGGGATGTAGACATTAAGAATATATGTATGGGACAAGGATTTCAGATGTTGGTGCTAGGTGTTACAGCTTTGTAACATAGCAGCGTCAGGATGACTGTGCACTGTTACCACTAGAGGGGGAAACCGACTAAGTTATGCTCAGAGACTGTTAGAGTGCAATGGCCTCCAGCAGACCGAGCTGTTGTTGGATATAGAAAGAAAAACAATGTGCCGGTTTGGTGGATTATAATTCTATTTTTATGCTGCTGGAAAGAGGCCAGGTGTCACCAATTAGTTTTTCACAGTGCTATGGAGAGATGTTATATAAAGGAATGTGTTCGAAGCAAGTTGATCAAGATGTTAAATTGATCATTTATATTACATTGATACTGTGTGTGGTGGAATGAACAGTTATTCTTTTTTCTTTCAAAGGTATAGGAAGGAATAACTTTAAATCAACATGTTTACACTAAAAAACTCTTTAGTTTTGACATTCAACACTTAAGTTTGTACTTAAATATTGCCTAAATATTATTAAATATATTCTTTTGCACAATATTCTACTACTGCTACTGCTTTATACGCTGTGTACATGACACCTATTGCACATCTGTTCCCTCTGCTCTTTCTGAGGTTTTTCCCTGTTTTTCCTTTGGGTATAGTGTTGTGTGATCATGTAAAGCCCTCTTAGACAAATTTATGATTTTGGGCTATATAAATAAAATTGCCTTTAGGTGACACCTAATTCTGATGCTTTGCTGGCTCGTAACATTCAACCGGAGTCTTTTGTACATCGGCTACTTGAGGCAACAATATACAGTAGAAAAGATGTCAGAAATGTAGCACAGAGGAAATGCTGTGAAATAAAGTAAATTACTAACTACTGATACATTGTAAATTATTCTTGATTACGGACATGGCACATTGATTTTATAAAAAGTAGAATACACACTTTAAATCTAGTGTGAATAAATGTTGAGCTCACCTCCAGTAATTAGGTGATTTTTTAAATGAGATTTTTAGGTTAATTTTGTGACTTGCAGAATAAACTTCCAGTTTGACACTTTATAAATGTATCGTAACATTAAATTATCAATAATCAGTTTAATGTTACGATACATAATACAATGATTCATTATAACATTATATGAAAATGAGAGAAAGAGAATTTTTTTTCTTTCATTGTCTAAATTCCAGAAAAGGATTTTTGTAGATCTGCGGGACACTGATGTGCATGCACATGTCTTACTTACCCCTACTATTGCGTACATGGGTACACAATGGGTCAGAGTGTATACGCTAGGTTGCATTTTTTCAGCGATGAAATGGTGACGTGGCAGCTGTGACTGAGCATTTCATGGCCCTTGTTTTTCCTAGAAACACGTCTCTGCTGAAGGATTGGCCACCTGCCATCTGATTGTGCATTTATTGTGTGTCACTGAGTGTGTGTCCATGTCTCTGTCCATGTACATGCATTCGTGGACTCCCAGGTGTGTATGTCCTAGCCTTTTTCATCTGTGTGTGTGAGAGTGTGACTGCGAGTGTGTGCGTTTGCATGTGTGCGTACAAGTCTGTCATCCACTCAATCCCCAAATCAGACAAGCCCCAAACCCCGCCGTCATGCTAGCAGATGGCCGCCTAATGAATCATGAGGCGACACACTGATAGCCTTTACTACAGTACGTGCTGTAACATGACGTTTGACATCACAGAGACTCAGTTAAATATAGGCCGCTAGCAACAGCCACATGCTCACACCTGGTGCTGCTGCTTTGTTACGTATACAGTTTTATAGATGACATTTATACCATGAAGAAATGTGAGTGTTTTTTTTCCTTTTCTCACACTTTGTGGTAATCACCTTTAATTCGAAATAAGCAGAGCAACTGCTGTCCCGTTCAGCTGCTTCTGAGGAGACGAAACACGCTTCAAGCTTTACTTCCTGTAGATGATCATTGCTGGATACAAAACCACTAGGTCAATTAAAAGGAGTCCTTCTTTTTTTTGTTTTTTTAAAGGAAGCAGTCATTTTTGGGAATAATTCTTCCTGGAGATCCTGTTACAGAAGTAGAAAACTGTAGTGGAAATGGCAGCCCTGCTCATGTGAATATGCCTGTGTG